GGGGGGGGGGGGGGGGGGGGGGGGGGGGGGGTTCTTTATATTTTAACATATTTTATTTCATTCACATATCCATGGGTCCAGCCTGTCTTTGATGTTAAAGGTTTTCCGTTATGTGACATTTACGCGCGGCTGTTGGAGATGTTGCGCACCAACAAAGCGCTGGATGCTGTCGGCTTTTTGTGCCACGCAGTGTTGCATCAGCTTATCTGGTTCATTTCCCCTCCTTATATGACATGCATGGATTTAAATCGCGCTTAGGGAGAATCATGTCTAGCTTGTCCACATGAGAGACACATGACCTGAACACATCGATTTTGTGGGTGTTAACATGTTGGTGTGAGCTGTGGTAGTCGTCTTCTGCTGAGTCAAGCTCTGTTTTATTCATTGATTTATATTGCATCTGGCACCAAACCTCTCCTAAACTTTACATCTAATTGTTTTGTTCCTAGTTGTATAAATGACTCACTGCAAGAGACTCTTAAGAAATAACTCCTGAACCCTTTTTCCTTTACAGTCTGTGAGGTGAAGGAGTGTCTCTGTGAACTTGAGCAGGATGCTGTCCTGCAGGGAATGTGCCGGGTTCTGACCCCTAATGTTTGTTTTTCCTTTGAGAGAGGTTTGGCATTTTGAGCTAGTTCTTGAAAAAAAAACTACAGTTCTAATTTTAAAAACAAATCAGGAAATTAGGTGAAATTATTTGCTTTGGTGTGTTGATATTCCTGAGTAATAGTTGTGAACCCAGAGAGAGCATTTTAAATTTTGTTAAGGATACATACATCTTCAACTTTTTAGATACAGCTTCATTGTTGCCAAGAACTCGGGGGCTCTATACGGCATGCAGAGATCAAACCTGACCCCTCTTGTTGCACAACATGGTGCTGTCCTTAATTAACCAGCGTGTGCCTCTGGCTCTGTCGAAAGTCTGTGACGGCTGACAAAATGAAAACCTGACCCTGTGCTGTCTACATGCACATGCTCGTCTCACCCTTATATCCATTTGTTTGTTCATATATCATCCAATCATCTTTTCTCATTCTTGTTAAGATGTAGTTTCGAGCTCCAACAGGGCATAAACCCGAACTGCTGATGAGATGTTTTGGCATTGAGAGAAGCATGTGTCTCAGTTGTCGTGGTAAAGATGTCTCTGCTCTCTGCCGGGTGATTTTCTGTAGCAATGTATGTCACTGTCACACAGAGTGAGCTGAAATCTTTCCAAGTGTTCAGAGTGTCTGCTGTAATTACGAGCAACATTCAAGACTAATTAAACTCCTCCTGAATGGAGTAATGTTGACAAGCCATGCTCAGTGAATTAAACGTGTTAGAAGTGAGTTAAATTAAAAGTCTGTGTTTTTCTGTCTCACAGTGTGTATGACGAACTGCCCGACCCTCATTGTGACTGTGGGACTTCCAGCCCGAGGGAAGACTTACATTTCAAAGAAGCTTACACGCTACTTAAACTGGATAGGTGTGCCAACCAAAGGTAACAGCCACACCCCCGACACACACACACACACACACACACACACACACACACACAAACACACATATATATATTCAAATTTAAGTTTACAATGGAAACCAGCTGTATTCTCATGTTTTAAAAAACACCAAATTTTCTTGTGTAACAGAGTTCAATGTTGGCCAGTACCGGAGAGAGAGTCTGAAGATCTACAAATCCTTTGAGTTCTTCCGTCCAGATAATGAAGAGGGATTAAAAATCAGACGGTAAGTCCACAGTGATTGGACAATCATGAGTGATTAATAACCAAAAGTCTTAAGGTTTTCACTTCAACAAAAGACTTTATCCACTGATGACTCCATCAAGTAGGACGAAGGTCATCTGTGAAGTCACCTGCTGAGGTGATTAGATGGAATGAAATCCTGCAGACTTTTGGCTCTTTACAGCACACGGTTGAGCACCCTGATATACACTTTATATTTAATTATTACATAATACTACAGTGCCATCTGAATCCTCTGCAACTGTGTCTATAGATCAGATGTCTACAAGGTATATTCTCTTAAATAATTCTGTAGACCACTGAAGAAAAAAAGTATTTTTAGGCCCTAAACTGTTTATGTAGAAATTAAAATATAAGTAAGTGTTAATGATATCGCCCAAATTGTGTGTTTGCCTACCAGATTTTGAGAGTTACTTTCTGGTTCAAGTTTGACTTACTGTGCACACACACTGTTTTCGTAATAATTCTTAATTATGATTTTAATGTTATGAGTCATTTTCTATCATTGAAAGCCTTTTTACCATGTCCTTCCACCTTGAGCTTGTTGAACTTCTTGCTGTCTGTCTGCTTAAATGAAATATATACAAGTTGACCATGGATTTTTTTTAAGGCTAATATAATAATAGTTTGGAGCAGGAAAAAGCAGACAGCCAATCAACCCTTTGAAACCTGGAGTGGCGTCACTTTTCTTGTGCTGCTTTCAGACTCCTTATGGAAGTATTTATACCTTTTAATATTGAGAAAATTGGCGCAATTTCTCTCAAAAATATGGGGAAAAGGGCAATGATGGTGAGAAAATGTCTCTCGAATTGCAAAAATAAATAAAGAATAGATTTAGAAAATTATTTTAAAAAACTATGGAAGAACTATATTTATAATTATTATTTTTACATTTTAAATCATTTCCTTGTTTGATTGTTTTTAACATTTTCCTTCTTTTTTCTTTTTCTTTCTTTTTTTTTTTACAATTTTTTTTTCCTTTTATTAATTTTCTTGCTATTTTTTTGTGTCATTTCGTCTTTCATTGCTCATTGCCTTCTTCCTCTCGTGTTTTTGAAAGAATCGAGGCGATTTGCTCAGGTTTTAAAAGGGTTAATTGACCAATATCAACCAAAAAAATAACGTATAAACATCTTGAAATGAAGAACAATATACCAACACCAGTAGTGGCCTGCTTTCTCTGGAGCTGAATCCACTGATGAGGCTCCTTTTTGCTTGATTTAACACAACCCTCCGAGGCTGCGTGGCCATCAGCCATAACGACAGTTTGTGAAATGTCTCATCAGCACTGATTAATCAGCTTAACCAATTAATCAGTTGTCTTTTAATACTGTTTATACCATGGTCTGGCTGAATACTCAATTCTGATTGGCTGCAGGGTGTCCGTTAAAAAGTGTTATAGGACAGCTTAAAAGACGTTGCAGTCAAATTGCCTGATGACAGGTTCGAAATTATTGCGCTGGCTCAACTGCTAGTTTGTAACCATAGCAACAGAGAGTCAGAGCAGAGGCAACGGATTACAATGGGCATCATGAGTGATTTTATCGTTTAATTTATTTGGTGAATTTGATAAATTTGATGACAGGGATGCAGAAGAGAGGTTAGAGAATGAAAAGAAAAGGGAGAAATGGCACAAGGAGGTGACACCGGAAGAAATAAATAATTTAGAAGATGAGACACCTGGAAACTCATCAGATCATGACCGTCATGGGACATCGGTGTGAGAGCAGCCTGCAGGCTTATTGGGCTCCGTCAGCGCAGGAGAGACGAGACTGGAGCAACATCTTGTCGTCTCCAAATGTCC